CACATTATGTATGCAATGTGGTATTCTGTGTGGTGGGCACTGTTGGTTGCCTGGCCTATATCTTTTCTCAATTTTCCTGAATGGTAGGAGTTGTTGTTGTTATTATTATTACTATTATTAATACAATTTATCGTGCTCTTTCTCCATCATTGTATATCTGCTGTGTTGGGGAAAGCGACAGATAACTTATCTTAGTTTATAGGCACAAGGAACCAGACACATTCAAACCTGACAGTGCAACTGGCACAACCCTTCACGATCCTGGATTTCCAGCCCTGGCTGCAACAACAGAGTGAAACTTTGTGACTTTCTCCTTGGGAAGAAGGTGGATGAATTCTGATATGAAGAAGGTACGTGTATGTTGGGTAGCTAATGGGGTAGACTCTAGCGGACACTGCTGGCTGCCTCACCAGTTTGCATTCTTCCCTTCTTCTCAACCAATGGAATCCTGATTTAAAGTCAGCAAGCTGCCTAGTTTAAAAATGATCATTTCCCAGCTTCCCTTGCAGGCAGGGGTGGTCACATGACAAAGCTGGGCCAATGAAGTGGAAGTGGAAGTTAGGGGGTGGGGTTTCCAGGAGTGCTCTGTACAAGGGAGCAGAGAACACTGGTGTGTGGGCTTTTTCCTTCTCCTGTAATGGAGCTGTGAAGTTGGAAACACAACAGCCACTGCTAAGAATGACTGAGCAGGGAAGAGAAGTAGCTGGTTCCTCGATGGCCCTGCTGGGCCCCAGAACTGGCCCCAGCCTGCTTATCTCTGGCGTCATCATATGAGATAAATAAATCCTCCTTGATGAAGTCACTGTGAACTGGGTTTTTGTTACCTGCAGCTCAACACAATCCTAACTGATACAATACCCGTCCTCTTGTTATTATAAACCCATCACAAACCTTCAACGCTCTCCCAACCATATCCCTCTTGTTGGACGGTTAGGCTAGTTTCAGTGTCTTTGGCTGCCATAAATACTTCAGTGAGGAGCACTTTATGTGTAAGCACTTGTGGCCCTTACATTTCTACAGCACTTTACAATCTGCAAAAACTCCTTCACCTCCGTTCTCTCATGACGCCAGAGGAAAATGACTCAAGACGGGATGGCTCAGCGGCCAAATTAGAAGCAACGGGCTCTCTGTGATGTCTTCTCTCTCCTTTATGTTCCCCATAACATCTAAGTTCTGCTCAGAAAGCCGTCCAACTTCACTAAATAGTGGCTGCTGAGGCCAAGCGAGAAATGAGAAACAATTACAAATTGTGAAGAGCTAGGGACATGTCATCCAGGTTCTAAAACCCTGCAGATTAACCCTCTTGGAGGTCACCCTCTGAAGCCAGGAAGCCTGTCTCTAACCGCAGGGTGCAGGGAACCAACGACTGGAAGAGATTAAGGCAAACACGAGGGCTCCTAAAGACCGTGTATTGCTTGGGGCCTCTGAACACATGGTGGGATTGGACAAAAGCCTCAGAGACGATGAGCCAAATGTCTGTGTGTCGGGGGGTGGGCTGGTGGAGCAGGGGGTTGACTGGGAAGAATAGGTATTAGAAAAGGTGGCAGAGACTGTGAGATCTTGGAAAGGCATCAGGAGAGGGCTGGTTCTTAACGACATTACAGGAAAGCTGCTCCAGGGACCACCTGGAACCAAGCATCACTCCCTCTAAACTCTAGGTTTCCTGAAAGCAATTTTTATTTTCCAGGTGGTGTATGCATTCGGCGTCTGCACGCAGTGATCCCACGTGTGTGTATAGCGGGGTGGGAGTGTTGAGGGGCCAGACAACACCCATCTTCTTAGTCCCTAGATGATGTTGATGTAAAACCGCCACCTGCCATCTTGTATTCTGCAAAGGCTCGGTGCCTCTGCACTTGATGTCAGTTTCATAGATGGAGTCCCAACATTCTAGCTATAAAATGAATCCCATGTTCTCATTGACCGACCCTAGAAAATCAGAGATGTCAATCAGAGATGTCATAAAAGAGACTTATCTCCGAGTCAAGTGGTTGTTGCGCTCTTTAAAACACATTTCTTCCCTTGTCCAATTTTGAATGTCTTCAATTTTATATAGAACTCATTTATTATAGAACAAGGAGGATCTGGTGTCAAAACCACCAAGGTCATCTCTTACCCTTGACTGTGAAAACCAGGAAGCTATATACATCACGTTCCGGGCTGGGCACTTGTGAGGTGGGTGTTAATATCTCCATTTTACAGATGAGGAAACTGAGGCTCAGATAGGTGAGGGAATTTAGTGCTCAAGATCACACAGGAAAAAAACAAAAGGAATTCTAAATGTCTTAGGCAAATTCGCCCTAATCCTGGAGTGAGCAGTGTCACAGAGAGAATTGTTGGGCCTTTGTTAGGGAATGGCCCCTCCTCCCGCTGTTCAATTACTTCTTTCATAAGGAGCAGTTGGAACCTTCCGGGTCTGGTGGTTTTCCGAGACATATTCCTTTAGTTTGCTTATTCTCAAAGCTGCAGGCCCAGGTCCTCGACTCTGGTCCAAGGGCTGGAGCCAGGCCTCGGGTCTCTTCACGCAGAGAGGAGTTTTCTGCCCTCGGCCCCTGCAGAGGGGAAGGATTAGACAGGCAAAGCCCAACTTGATTGAAAAATAACTTCCCTCCAGGCTGCTTTATGGCTTTGCGCCTCTTCCCTCCAGCTCTCGCGGAGTCTGGCCCTGAGACCGGTAGACTCGGGGTGGTCCTCGCTTCTCCGAGGGGCCGGAAATTACCAGAGGAGCGCCAGGGGGTGCCGAGCAGGCCATCTGAAGTAGAGCAGCAACTTATTAATGTTTTTAAAAAGTTTAAAAGTGAACACAGCGCACTGTAAGGAGTTGAGGGGCTCTGGCTCCACCACGGACTAGCCCTGTGATGGTGGGCGAGGGGCTTCCCTCACTGCCCCCGTCTGTAAAGTGGGGGGGGCATCCCCAGCACCACGGGGTCGGCGTGAGGATGAAATGAGAGCTGGTGTTTACAAAGGGCTCAGAACCTGACCCACAGCAGTGACCGCAGAGGGGACAGCCCCAGCCCGTGCCTGAATGAGCGCATCTACATTCGTCAGACCAGCCAAAGCCGGTTTCTGGCACCCCTTCTGAGCAGTGCAGGATCTGGCCTTGCCCAAAGAGAGGTCTGGGCTTTGCCCCAGCTTCTGGGAGTAAATTGGGTCATACCTGAGAGGACTGTGCTTGTCTACAGCAGGGGCCGACCACACCAGATCTTGTGTGGGGTTGGCACACCAGAAGGACCCACCATGCGATTTAGGGTGGGAGCTGCGGGTCACACAGTATCAGTCAGCCTGGAGACTGAGTTCAACCACGTGGGTAATCAATCAATCAACCATACCTACGTCACGAAGCCCCAATAAAAACTCTGGGCACCGAAGCTCGAGTGAGTTCCCTAGTGGGTCACTCTCTGTGCATACTGTCACAGGTCGGTGCCAGGAGGTTGACATGAGTGTAACAGCTTTAGTGAGTTCTATGTCTTTCTACTGAATTATCAAACCTGAGGGGTGGTTTTGGGAGCCCTGGAACTTGCAGTTGGGGTCAGAAATGAGGGTGGTCTTGTGTGGAGACCATTCCCTCAACCTTCACAGTTTGGCGAACTCCAGGCAACTTCCCTGACACAAACCCTCCTGAAGCTTCACGCCCACTGTCACCCCCAACCACCCAAACTGGAAAGGATGAGTGGACAGAGGAAGGGAGCTTATGCCTGACTAAGTGGAGTGTTTTCCAGATGCGATCTCATGGGTGCCTCAGTTTACATATCTGTAAAATGGGACCCACAGCGCTTACCTCTCCAAGTTGTGAGTTGCCCAAGGTCTCACAGCTAGGGAACAAGAACACAGGATTCAACGCCATGGCCTATGCACTCTGCACACAGCCACACTACCTCTAGCGGGGCTGAGGTCAGCCTGGGGGTGAGACAGGCCCACCATCAGAAGGGGGTCTCACTCCTATGGAAAATGCTGTTTAATACATATTAATCATCACACGTACAAATATGGATTAAGTCTCACCCACATGCTTGGGGATGTAGGGCAGTGTCACCTAACACTGCCTGGTCTTGTCATGACAACCACCTGGGGTGCTCATTAACACAGCTTCCCAGGCCCAGGCCCTGACTGAGAGGCTCCGAATGCCCAGGGAGGGGCCTGGGAATCTGTATGGTTAATATCCCACTGCGGACTGAGTCTCACAGGGGCAAGTTTGAGAACTGAGGTCAAGATGTAAAGGGTCTCGGTTTCCCCCCTGGCAGCACTGCTATTGGGCAAGTCTCAGGTTCCAGGCCTCGGTTTTCTCATCTATGCAAACAAGGTGATGATCGTGGCTGTCCTTTCTCACTCGTGGTACGGCTGTGAGGATGACAGGCTTGGGACAGGCCCAGCACCACGACCCAGGAGCCACAGTCACCCCTAAGGACAGCAGGTACAGCCCGTTCTGCCCAACGCTTGTTAGAAAACACAGATCGGTGCCAAAGCAATTTGATCTATTAGGGAACAATTTAAGCATGACAAGAATTTTGCATTTGCTGATGCACAATTTCATCTTCAGGAAACACTAGATGTATACAGAAAGCTGCACCCAGCTGCTCAGAGCTAAACAGAGCTACAGAGGAATACACAACACACACACATTCGTGTGTGCACATCTCAAACATCTACCAGCTACCTTGGTTCACCGTGTGTGTTATGAGCCACACTCGTCCACATCTCATGCTACAACCTGCTGTGGGCTGACTTGTGTCACCTGCAAATTCATATATTGAAGACCTAACCCCAGGACCTCCAAACGTGACTGTATTTGGAGACAGGGCCTTTAAAGAGGTGATTAAGTTAAAACGAGGCCTTTAGGGTGGGCCCTAATCCAACATGCCTGGTGTCCTTCTAAGAGGAAATCTGGACACACAGGAGGACACTAGGGGAGTGTGTGCACAGAGAAAAGACCACATGAGGACACAGTGAGAGGGCGGCCACCTGCAAGGCTAGGGGAGAGGCCTCAGGAGAAACCAAACCTGCCGGCACCTTAATCCAGGACTTCTGGCCTCCAGACCTGTGAGAAAATGAATTTCTGTTGTTTATGCCACCAGTCTGGTCCTTTGTGACGGCGGCCCTGGCAAACTACTACACAACTTTCCATCAGATCTCAGATCAGCCTCCTTGATCCACCTCACAACAGCTCACATGCCGCACCCTTCCCACGCCCAGTCCACAAGCAAGCTTCAGGCCTTTCTCACGGCAGGATGCCGTATTTATTATAGTCTTTACACACTTAACCAACCGACAGGTAGAAAACTGTGCTAGTTTTCCTTTCAGGTTCCCATCTCTTTTTTAAGGTGTGACTGACAAGTTTTTGAGTACTGTGGTCTTCCCTAGACTGAAGGTTTGTGTCCCCCAAATTCATACGTTGAAACCTAACCCCCAACGTGATGGTGTTAGGAGGGGGCACCTTTGGGGTGATTAGATCAAGAGGGCAGAGCCCTGATGAATGGGATTAGTGTCCTTCTGAAAGACACCCCAGAGACCTCCCTTGCCCCTTCTGTTACGTGAGGACCCAGGGAGAAGCAGGAGCCAGGCCCTCACTAGACACCGAACCTGCCAGCCCGTGATCTTGGACTTCCAGCCTCCAGAACTGTGAGAAATAAATTTCTGTTGTTTATACATCACCCAGTCTGTGGTATTCTGTGATAGGAGCCCCGACTTACTAAGACATGCCCCAGACCTATTTTCCCTTATTCTCATTTTTTTTTTTTTGGTGTGGTGATTTTTAGGAGCACATATGTCATGTTATAGCAGAACTGACTGTACTATTCTAAGCACTTCACCTAAATTAATTCTTTTAACCCTATGAGGCAGATTCTATTATTATCCCCATTTTATAAGTGAGGAAACTCAGGCACAGAGAGGTTAAGTAACTTGCCTACAGTCACACAGCTAGAAGTGGGCAGATCTGCAATTTGAGCCCAGGTGGTCAGGTCCAGAGCCCAGGCTCTTGACACCAGATGTACGGTGGCTTTATGGGTGGACACAAGGGGAACAATGCCCCCACACTTTCCTCTCTGTGGGCACCCTCTACTGGTCCCCGCCACCCACTCCTCTGCACCCCATTAGGAAGGACTTCCCGGCACTCCCCACATCATTTTAAATCCAATTCTGTTCACAAAAGAGCACAATCTGATCAAGCTCATGAATGTTTAATGAAAGGAACTCTCCCTGTTTTGTGAGCACAATGAATCTTGCCCAAGGAAATGACAACCAGTGGCTTTGTGATTCAACAGATAATGGCAGTGCTCAACACTCTGAAAATGCTTTCTCTATGAGCACGGTTTGCTCCCTATGAAAAGGCTGGCCTCCTAGAGCACACTCTACCTGCTGTGCCCACAGGAGGGCATGTGCCTTACGCTTGCTGAGTACTAAGTGAGGCCCCAACCCCTCACGTCTCAACCATCTCCTAAATATTTACTCAAGACGCTTACGTGACCAGAGAGAAGACCTGGTGGCTCCTGGCAGGACGTTCCTTAATTTATTCATTTAACAATGAAACTGAACAATGCACTGGACACATGACATGCGTCTGTGCTGGTACAGGCGAAAGACTGCTGAACACAGGGGCCAGTCTGCATCTTGCTGGGCACACCAGCACAGGAAAACCATGGGGGCAGGAGAAGACTCTATTGGCGGACGGGCCGCCAGCTCGGGAACTTCCCAGGTAGGGGTGGAGACGGAGCAGGAACGTGAAGGTGCAGTGGGGCATCAGCAGACAGGGAAGGGGAAGACAGAGGGCATTCCACACACAGGGACAGCGAAGGCTGGAGGGTGTCTGACGATGAATGGGAGGGTCCGAGACTTGTCAAGCCCCAGCTCCCTGGCAGGGAGAAGTGGGGCATAAACAGGGAGGGGCCCTCGGTGTGAGAGCCTTCAACGCCACCCACGGGGTTCCTCTGGTCCAAATATAAAATGAGGCTATTATTCCCACGGAGTCCTTACATTAGAATGTGTCGTCTTCCATCCTGGGTGACAGTTTACACTAGTCAGAATCTGAGAAGCAAACCACAGGCGAGAGTGAAATAGATGATTTATACTCTGTTCATCCAATTAAACAATTGTCCAGTACCTGCCGCCAACTGCCTCTAGATGAGGAAGTATTTCTTACTGTTTTTATTCATTGTCCCTCTGTGTCCTCTACAAAGAATAGATTTAAGCCATTCTCTTGGATGTGAAGGATGCCAACTGTAAATGAAGGTGTCTAGTCATTGACCAAGACCCAGCAGGAGCCACTTACAATGTTTTGCTAATCAAATAACTATGTGCTTAAGTGTTAAAAATATTTTAACTGCAGCTCATTAAGTCAAATTAATCTCTTTCAGTGAACTTGCATTACTTAACACATGAGGTGAGGAGAAGGGAGCTAACATTTCCAGAGCCAGGCGGTTGGCTAAGAGTGCTCATGAACACCACCTTGCTTAACTTTTACAACGATGATATGTTCAAACTCCCTCTTTTGGAGGCTGCCTCCTTGCTCCCCTGCCCCTGCCACATGGCTATGAGGGGTATGGAGCTACCATGTTCTAATATGCCCCCGTGTCCTAGGTCATGACCCCATCACATCTCAGAACCCTGCCCCCCCAGGTTAGATTGGCTTAGAGGACACGGGACCCCAGCTGAGCCAATCAGCCAGTTCCCTGAGAGCTTTGAACTTGAGACCACAGAGAGCATCAGGGATGTCTCTCCCATGACTGAAGCCATGAGACTTGAACTTGGGGGCTAATGGCAGCCACATATTCCTCTGGGTGGAGAAAGCTGGTGGAGAGAATTAGACAAAAAGCAGAGAGGAGCAGAGATGACAGAGGAGCAACACAGTTGGGGAGGCTTGAGTCCTAGTTTCCTTTCTTCCCGGGGCTCAGCTGCATCCCCCCACTGCCAGTGGCTTGTTTGGTTCCTCTTTCTTGAAATCCACAAGCAGATTTATTCCCTTTTGAGCTTAGGTTACTTCCAGGTCAGCTTCTGTCACTTGCCACCAAGAGTCCTAACAGGCAGGCATTATCATCACCGTTCACCAATGAAGAAACAAGGTGTGGGCACTTGCTCCAGGCCACGCTGCTAGAAAGTTTCAGAACTAGAGTTTGACCCCCAAATCTCTTTCTATTTTCAACATACCTTTGGGTATGTGCAACAGAAAGAACAGTCTCCAGGATTGATGCTATGGGTCCTGCTGGTTAGAACATGGGGTGCCCCTGGAGTTAAGGATATAAAGGCATCTGTGGAGACAGGAAGGTTCAGTTCTCCTCTATCCTTCCATCAAGCCCCCTGACCTCCAACCACCCGCAAAGAGCAAAGAGCCAAGGAGACAGCCCTCTCCAAGATGGCTGCTGTCGGGTGTTGCCCTGGCCCTGCATGGCCTTTGGAGTCTGGCAGAAGTTGGGTCCTCTCTTAGCTCCACCACCCAGCTGTGTGGTCAGGGGCAAACTGCTTAACTTCTCTGTGATAGGCTGAATTGTGTCCCCTCAGAAATTCATATGTTAAAGTCCTAACCCCCCAGTACATCAGGACTGACTGTATTTGGAGACAAGGTCTTTACAGAGGCAATTCAGTTAAAATGAGGTAATTAGGGTGGGCCCTAATCCAATATGACTGGTGTCCTTAAACACACACAGAGGGAAGACCATGTGAAGACACAGGAGAAGACGGCCATCCAGAAGCCAAGGAGAGAGGCCTGGAACAGATCCTTCCCTCACGGCCCTCAGAAGGAACCAACTCTGATGGCACCTTGATCTTGGACTGCTGGCCTCCAGAACCGTGAGAAAGTAAATTTCTATTGTTAAAGCACCCAGTCTGTGGTACTTTGTTATGGCAGCCCGAGCAAACTAATAGATGCTTTGAGATTCATTCTTCCCACCTGGGGATTACTGACGTGATACCTGTGGCCCGGGGTTCGGGGGTGTTGTGGTAAGAATTATAAATGAGACACACAAGGCACCAGTGCCATCGGCATGCCCGCAATGGTAGCTATTCTTTATGTTCCAATAATGACGCGGCCCCAAGAGCTGCAGAAGTTTCTCTGCCCTTTGCTAGCCTTTCAAGGAAGCCCGTTTCCTTGACAACAATCTCCCCAAAGGAGGTGACACGTTTCCAGCTTTCCTGAACAGACGGCTCTAATCTGAAGGGCTGGTGGGAAAAGCCAACTGCGTCTCTATGCACAAGGGACGGAGAAGCTTCCAGATATTGGTTCATCCCAAGAGAAGAGGGAATGGAAGTGTGTATGGTTCACTGGACGCCTCCAAAGAGCCCCATGTGGAGGAGAGGGGTGCTCTCAAGCACAGTGGGGTGCCCTGGCGGCTGACATGAACAAGTGCCGGCCTGGAGCCTCCTCTGGCCCGGCCTTGAGCCCCAGGGCTGAACCCTTAGGCCAGGCGGCCTGTGACAAAGAGCAAGAGCCAAAAAGAGAGTGCTGGTAGGAAATATCTTTGAGGAAACGGGGAGCATGTGGGGGCTGGCATCGCAGCCCCAGGTAACGGAGCGCATCTCCTGTGAGTGTGTGTGTGTGTGTGGTGTGTATGTGAGTGTGTAGGGTATATGGTATGTGTGGTGTGTGCGGATGTTTGTGGATAGTGTGTATATTTGTGTGTGCTGTGTAGTATGTGTGTAGCATGTGGTGTGGGGGGTATGATGTGTGTATGGTGTGTGTGTTTGTGTAGTACGTACATATTTGTGTGTGTGTGGTGGGTTTGGGTGTGTGTAGTATATGTGAGGTGTGTGTGGGGATGTTTATGTGGGGGCATGACGTGGGTGGATGTTTTTGAGTATATGGGGGGTGTGTGCGTGTGTAGTGTATACGGTATGTGTGGTATATGCAGGTATGTGTGTGGTGTGTGCATGGGTGTGTTTGTGTGGAGGTATGACATGTGTGGGTATTTTTGTGTGTGTGTGTGTGTGTGTGTGTGTGTTGAAGGGGTTGCTTCTGGACCTGGAGGCTGGAGCAATGAGCAGGGCCCGCCAACCAGGGCTGGGAAAGGAGAGGGAGCCGACCAGAGAGCGCCTCCTGCGGGCAGGAATGGAGGAGGTGACATGCCTATGTTTGGTTGGGACACAGGACAAAGCTGGAGAGCTCGGCCCCCCACTGGACCCCGGCCGTCCACCGGCTCCCCCAACCCCAGACTTGACCTCAGGTGCGAGAGCAGGGAGGAAATGCCGCGTGGACAAGCCTGGCGGGTGCCAGAACACGTACTCCACAAGGACATGGGTGGACACCCCGCCCACCCTCGCCCGGGCCCTCCTGGTGTTTCGAGAAACGTTTGGGAGGAAACAAGAAGGCTGAGTTCCCACAGAGCCCCTGGGAACAGGCCAGAAAAACACGACCTTGATCTGCTTGGGGATCCTGTCATTATGCCTAGTGGGGGGTGGGGGTGGGAAAGGCGTTTACTTGTCTGCATCTTGCCCCCCTCCCGGGCATGAACTCCCCGAGGACCACAGGACGGCTTCTTCCTTTGAGCCTTCCCCCTGGCCAGCACAGGGTGGACACCTGTCCCCAATTATGTGCAAGTGCTGCTGAGCTAATTATGGACAAAAGCATCATGTCCAACTGCAAATCTCTGAGTGCTTAAACCCCCAAAGGCTCTTCATAACTCAGGACTCCTCACTGTGCTGACGCGTGACCCCTGGGCCTGGCCCACCCGCTGCCCAGCTGCACCAACCCTTCCTCTCTCACACCCACCCTGGACCACTATTCCCTTTGCTGCCACACATCTTTGTAACTCCCTAACATGCTTGCTTGCCGTGCCTCCGGGCCTTTGCATATGCCGATCATGCTGCCTGGAACACCCTCCCTGTACTTCTCCATCTACTTGTCAAATTCCCCAGATGCCTGCCCTGCCGGTCCTAAGGTGAGCAGGCGCCTCCTCTCTGCTCCCCACTATTGCAGCACCCAAGATTCTGTGTATAATGACTTCCTCGTCATTACAGCCTCACTGCCCCCCACAGCTGCCTGGCATTCAGGGAGCACATCATTCACTCAGTCTTGCATTTTTTTGTTCATTAAAAGAATGAATTAAATAAACAAATCTAATTAATGCATGAAATATTTGTGGAAAGAATCAAACACTTATTATATTACCAACTATCAGGTGGGTACAAAGAATTATAATAGACACATTCTCTGCCTTCAAAGAGCTCATGCTATTGTCACACAATAAGATAAAGGTATGGGAAAAATGACTAAAATCTTGCAGTTATGTCACAAGTCAAATCACTGGTAAACGGAATAAATATTGTGGGGTAAGACAGGGTAGGAGAAAGATTCTGGGAGGCTAGAGTGACCCTGGGAGGCTTCCTGGAGGAGGTGGTTTTGAGTCAGGTCTTGAGTGACTACACGACCCAGGTTATCCCCATTGACTAAAGGTAATACAGTTGATTCTCATTACTCACAGTAATTATCTTCTAGAAAGTCACCACGAACACCAAATTAGCAAATACTGAACTACTGCTCCTATGGGAAATATGGGGCTAGGTTCCTGTGAACCTTTGGTCACAACATTTTTGTCAACTGATCAACACATACCTTGTTTTCTGTGTGTTTCTGTCGAAAGACACCTTATTTAATATCTATTGTCGACTCATGAACACCGAACTCATGGCCAACAGCATTGTAACGAGGCTTACCTAACACGTGTATTTTCTCCATGAGGCACAGCACTGTCTTCTTGCACTTCAGCACTGAGTGTGGGGCCATTTAAAACAGCGAAATCACCAAGAAAAAACACAAAAATGCTAAAAATGTGGCACAAACTAGACCTCAAAAAGGACCCTTGTTTGCAGCACGAGAGCCGGAACAAGAAGAGGCAGATTGTCGCTTTGTCCCATCGCAGCTGGGAATGTGTGCATTACATGACTCAAATTTTTTGCCACTCTGCACATCTGCAAATGACTGCGAAGGCACCACAAGCACTGATTTGAGGTTACAAAGGCGCACTGCATATATGGAATCCGTGAATAGTGAGCATCGACCGTAATTAACAGCAGCCCCCTTTTCACTCTCAAAAGTTTGAGAGTCACGAAGGTCTTGGGGACTGGCGCCTTTGCAGTGGGACCCAGCAGAACACATAATTCCTGTGGGGTAGGGTGGCTCTTTCGACTCGGCCATCCCAGGCTGCCTGCAGGTGTGCAGGCTTCTCCCTCCCATCCCCACTGAAGGCATGCGTGCCCCAGACAACACGGGGATCCCCACAGCCCATCTCCTGCTCGCAGCGAGAACCTGGAAGTCATCACTATCCACTGCCCTGGCCTCCGAGAGCATCCATCAACTTCGCTCTGAGAAGGAACGAACCCCGACAATCTACAAGTAGCTCCCTCTCCCAGATGCCTTTCTCAGGAATTTCTCCTCCAAGCAGCAGCTCAGCTCAGGTCTCAGGAGAGCCGGCATCAAAGCCTGGATGACAGACGCTGGGGCTGGGCCAGCGTCCGCGTCTGCATCTCCAAGTGTCCCGGGAAATCAATCTGAACTTCCATGGGTCTCCAATCTTGATTGATTGTCAGCAATCAAGTGTCATCGCCTGTTCAAAGGCATTAAAGCCATTCTCCGAGCTAGGCTCTCAGGGACTCCCTAGAAGTTGACTTTTTCTCACCTGCCCCAGGGTTACCCCAGTTTTTGGCCTGGCTACTGAAACTTAACCTCCCCAGCTATTCTGTTCTCCAGAAGGCCAACCTCACCTCCCTCCACAAAAGACAAACAAATACATTCCAGGGACCAGAGGACAGCTCGGCAAGCTACGACCTGAAACATAACCTAGAACAAGCAAAGAGGCAGCCAAGAGATATCTACTTGGCATCTATTAAATGCCTAACAAAAATAGATGGCATTTCCTGAGCGCCTGCTGTGTGCCGGGCAGCCACTGTGCCACATGCTTTAGAGGTATCACCTTATCCAGTCTTGCTAAGTTCAGGGTAGGGGCCACTCTTTTCCCCATTTTCCGGATGAGGGAGTCGGGCCTAGGGAGTCAGGGAATGCGCCCTGGGTCACACAGCTTGTCCTTCTGGGAGGTGGAATGTGAAGCCATGGCTGGGGCTCAGAGGCCAGCTCTTAACTACTGTGCAGGGAGCGCCACCCCAGGCTTGGCCGAGCCAAGCCAGTGGACATGTGGCTCCCAGGGCCGGGCACCTCGCAGGCCTCAATGACCGGGATACTGATGAGAGAAGAGAGCAGCCACAGCCACCCAGAGAAAGGGCTCTGGTATGGCCCCGGAGGAGATGGAGTGACCTGCTCACTTCACCCCAAATGCAGAATTTCAATGACGAAGCCCTAAAATTTACTTGGAATGTGAATACGCATTTAGAATAACTGGATATTCGAGTTGGAGGGGTCGGGGACAGTGTTATGGAGTGAATGCGTCCCCCCCAAAATGCATATGTTGAGATCCTAATCCCCAGTGTGATGGTTTTCAGAGGTGGGGCCTTTGGGAGGTAATTAGGTCATGAAGCCCTCACAAAAGTCCTTAAAAAAAGGACCCCAGAGAGCTTCCTAGTGAGGACACAGTGAGAAGACGCTGTCTATGAACCAGGAGCGGGCCCTCACCAGACACCTAACCTGCTGGAGACTCGATCTTGACTTCCAGCCTCCAGAACCGTGAGAAATAAATTCCTGTTGTTTATAAGCCACCCAGTCTGTGGTATTGTCATAGCAGCACAAGAGACAAGCTTTGCAGAGCCTGAAGTAGCCACCAGGGATGAGGTGGGGGTGCTGGGAGAAGAAAGGAGACCTCGAACAAGTCCTATAAGCTGAGCCTCAATTTCCTGGAAAATGGACATCATCGCCGTGCCCACCTCGTGGGGTTGTCGTGAGGACTGAGTTAGTGCCCGTGAAGAGCTGAGACAAAGGGATGGCACAGCAAATGCCCAGTAAGTGATGGTTGTCACAGTCATCGTCACCATCATCATTATGGCCTCAGACACTGCAAGTCCAGACTGAACACCACCATTCCCAATGGGGCCTTTTGAAAAAGAAGCCTGTTACTGACCGAGTGCTGGCCAGGCAGGTGCCAGCCTTGAGCTTGGTGTTCAACACACCCGCACCCTGTTTGATTTAATCCTCACCCAAGCCTGGTGCGCAGCAGTGGGAAGACTGTGACCTCCGGGCAAGATCTGGATTCTGACTCTACTCATCCACTCGGCAGCTGAACAACTCTGGGTCAGTCCTGTAAATGCCCCGTCTTCAAACTCGGGGAAGTCATGTATCCAAATGCTCAGTCAGAGACAGGGCTCAATAGACAGCCAGTATTTTCACAAAGCCACAGAGGCTCAGAAAGGTCAAAGCTATATCCCTAGAAACTCAGGAGGAAAGAGTCACACCCAGGCTTCCCAGCCTCCTTGCACTTCACAGGTCAGCCCACCGCCTCTGTGGGCATGTTTGGAATAAACAGTATGATGGTTAATTTTTTATGTGTTGACTTGACTATGCCATGCACCCAGATACTTAGTCAAACATTATTCTGGATGTTTCTGTGAAGGTGTTTTTTGGATGAGATTAACATTTAAATCAGTAGATGCTGAGTAAAGCAGATTGCCCTCCATAATATGGGTGGGCCTCATCCAATCAGTTGAAGGCCTTCCTAGAACAAAAACTGAGCTCCCCAAGCAAGAAGGGATTCTGCCGGCAGACAGCCCCTGGACTTGTACTGCAACTCTTCCCCAGGTCTCCAGCCTGCCAGCCTACCCTGCAGATGTTGGACTCGCGAGCCTTGATAATCGCGAGAGCCAATTCCTTAAAATAAATCTCTCTCTACATACACGTCCTGTTGGTTCTGTTTCTCTGGAGACCCCTGATTAATACACACAGGTATGAGCTGTGGCATGTGGAATGTGGGAGACGGGTGGAGAAAGGCACTACCTGGGAATCTGACCTCCTGTCTGCAGTAATTTGCAATTGCTCCAACCATATCAATTTCTCATTTTCGCTTCCCAGTGAATCACATTTCGAGCAGCTGGCTGGGATCAGAAGGAACAAGGCATTCTTTTCACGCTCAGACAGCACTGTTGAACATTTACCTTCCAGTAGCCTGAAGCAGGCAGAGGAGGAAGGGCCTCCCTCTGACTTTCTCCAGCCTTGAGGAAAAAGAACACTCTGATTTAATGAATTCGAGTTTGAATATAATCAGATTTTCTCTATAGCAACAGCCCCACCACACAATCCTCTGGGAGCTGCAAGCAATGAGCAGCCATCTCTGGGTGAAAGCCATCTCACACGCAGGCCACGGGAAAAGCTGCCATGGATACGTGGACAACAGAGCTTTGCATGTGACAGCCACGTCTAGGCCTCGGCTGTAGACCAGAGCGAAGTGGGAGTAAGCGAGCCGTGCCACGGTCCTTTGATTCGGCAGCTTATAGGTGTTTCTGTAAAATTATGCTTCCCCTCCGACTGGCAGATGGACTGAAAAGTGGTCAGGCAGCCTAACCCAAGTCAGAACAGAAAGGGCTTGATCCCAGCTCGCGACTCATGATGAAGGTGATGGCACTTTGTGTTCACATCTTGCCTTTCAACTCATGGTCGCAAAGGACACTGATGTGGCCTCTTGACTGTGGTCGACAGGCTTCCCTCCTGGGTCCCCAGGCCCGGCTGCCTGCCCACCAGAGGTTCGTGCACCCCTCCAAAGTGTGGAGACGCTCTTGGGAGGCGATGGCATCTCCCGGCTGCTGCAGCTAGCTGGGGTCATGTGACAGAGTTCTGGCCAATGGAATGGGGTGGAAGGATGTATGTCACTTCCGGCCCGGCCCTACGCCCTCCCACGTGCTCCTGCCCTCTCTCTCCTATCCCATCTACTGGCTGGAGGGTGGACCTTGTGTGAGTGAGAAATTAAGTTCTGCTGTGTTCAACCCCTGCAGTGTGTAGGTTTATCTGTTACAGCAGCCAGCGCTCCACTAACACAGGTTTCCAGAGCCCAAGGAGGTAGGATGACTTGGTCAGGGCCCAACAGCCAGCAAGGGGGAGGCCAAGCCCAGGACTCAGGCCATCAGTGGGGACCCTCCCCTGAGGACGAGCCACATCTCTTTGCCAAGCCACGGTCCAGTTAGCGCTGTCTTTGCTGACCATCTTCCCATCATCATTACCTAATTCAATGTTTTTAAGGTAATTCAATGAAAAATAATTCCCCATTATATTTGCCAAGTGCCTCATTCATTTTTCTTGAGATATAATGCACATACCATATACCTATTTAAAGTACAGGTCAGTGGTTTTGAGTATATGCACAGAGTTGTGCAAACATCACTACAATCTAATTTTAGAACACTTTCATGAAAAGAAGTCCTATAGCCATTAGCAGTCATTCCCCATCCCCCACCCCCAGGCAAACACCAACATACTTTCTGTCTCTCTTGATTCGGGACATTTCATATAAATAGTCATATAATATGTGGCCTTTTGTGACTGGCTTCCTTCACTTAGCATAATGTTTTCAAGGTTCATCCATGTCGTAGCATGAATCAGTACTGCATTCCTTTTTATTGCTGAATACTATTCCGTAGTATGGATATACAACATTTTTTTATCCATCCATTAGTTGATGGACATTTGGGTTGTTTCCATTTTTTGAATAATTCTTCTATACTGCTACGAATATACATGAATGAGTTTTTGTGTGGATGTATGTTTTCACTTCTCTTGGGTCCATACCTGGGAATGGGACTGCTGCTTATGGTAACTTTTGGACATTTTGAGGAATTGCCAGACTGTTTATAAGGCAGCTGCACCATTTTACATTCCCACCAGCAGTGTATGAGGGTTGCAATTTCTCCACATCCTTGCCAACACTTGTTATTTTCTGTCTTTCTGATTTTAGCCATCTAGTGGGTATGAAGTGGTACCTCATTGCAGTTTCTAGTTCATTTTCATAATGACTAATGATGTTGAGCATCTTGCACGTGTTTGTTGGCCATTTGTTTACCTTCTTCGGAGAAATGTCTATTCTCCCCTTCGCCCATTTTTTTGTTTTTTTCCTGAGGAAGATTCACCCTGAGCTAACATCTGTGCCAGTCTTCCTCTATTTTGTATGTGGGATGCCGCCACAGAATGGCTGTCGAGTGGTATAGGTCCGCACCCAGGATCCAAACCTGCAAACTCAGGCTGCCGAAGCAGAGCATGCTGAACTTAACCACTACACCACGGGGCCAGCCCCTCCTTTGCCCATTTTTTAATTGGGATGTTTGTCTTTTTATTATTGAGCCATAAGAGTTCTTTATACATTCTGGATGCAAGTACCTTATTACATATGTGATTTGCAAGTATTTTCTCCCATTCTGTGGGCTGCCTTTTCACTTTCTTGATGATGTCCTATGAAGCCCAAAAGTCTTAATTTTGATGAAACCTGACTCATTTTTATAAATTATTCCCGATGAACCGATTATTCTGAACAATTCCGTCCCAGAACAGCAGCCATGCTCTCCCGGCCTGTCTGCAGAGACCACATCCCCAAGGAGCACGAAGATGATGCTCAAGATACGGGGATTTTCCGCTCTCCTCTCACATCATTTAAGAAGTATTCCCTACCTGGGAACAAAGTTGGCCTGAAGATACAAGTGACATTCATGCAATGGAATATTACGCAGCCACTAAAATTATGGTGCAGATCTACATAATGGCAGTATGTTTAAACAAATGAAGTGAAAGTATCAGGGAACCAGGCATCACCTAAGGTCTAAGCCTGTCTTTATTTTCCCCAATTGAGGCATAATTTACTACAGAAAAACAGGCAAAAGTTAAGTGTACAGCTCAATGAATTTTAACCTATGTGTGTATCTATATAACCACCACCCAGACCAAGAATATAGAACATTTCCATCACCCCAGAAAGTTCTCTCATGCCCCTTCCCAGTCCATATCCACCCTGTCCCCACCTATGGTACACACTATTTATTTTTTGTGTGTGTGAGGAAGATCAGCCCTGAGCTAACATCTGTTGCCGATCCTCCTCTTTTTGCTGAGGAAGATGGGCTCTGGGCTAACATCCGTGCCCATCTTCCTGTACTTTTTATATGGGATGTCGCCACAGCATGGCTTGCCAAGCAGTGCGTCAGTGCGCACCCAGGATCGGAACCTGCGAACCCCGGGCCGCCACAGCAGAGCGCACGTACTTAACCGTTGCGCCACTGGGCCAGCCCCGGTACACACTATTTTGACTTTTACCCCTGTCGATTAAATTTGCCTGTTCTTGAACTTCATATACACGGAATCACACAGTACGTAGTCTTTTGTGTCTCTTTTTTTTTGTTCTGTTAATGTTTTTGAGATTCATCCATGTTATTGTGAGTATCATCAGTCTGGTCTTTTTGTTATTGCTGTGCATTGTTCCATTGTGTGACTACTGCACGATTGGTTTATCGTCTTTTCTCAATGGACATTAATCCTGTCTTCCTTTAAAGAAAAATATAAATATTTGAATGGAGAAAAGTGTGGGAAAAAAAATGCCAAAATGTTGAACAGGGATTGCCCTGGGTAGAGCGAGGCACTCAGTCCACTGGTAGCAGAGGGAGGGAAGGAGGGAGAGCAGGAGGCTGGAGCAGGCTGTGAAGACGAGGAGACCCAAGGCGGAGGAGTTTGCAGGAGGCTGCTGGCTGGGGAGGTGGGACGGGGGAGGGCGCTCAAGGAAGAGGGGGACGAGGGAGGGGATTAGAGCAATGCTAGCTGCTATAACAGACCTCCATGGGGCCTGGAAAAGAACGGGGTGGGTGGGAAGCTCCAGAATGCCTGGAGATGAAGTCAGCCATCCATCCACACACACAACAGATCTCTCCTGCCCACCTACTATGTGCCAGGCCCTGTGCTGGGGGGCCGGGAATCTCGGGCATTTTAGCAGTAAATTCACTGGACACTTCTGAGCTCCTTGATGTCTGGGGCAGCGTTCAAAGTGTGGAGTGTGGTGGAGACAGATTCAAGTTCATCCTGCAACACACCAGCCGCATGTCCTGAGTTAGTCCATTCCTTCTTAATTTACCAGACACTCAAGTCAGGCTGTGCACCCAGGCCTGTGACGGATACCAAAAGAACCAGCCCGACACGGGCCCTGCCTGTGCAGAGTCATATTCTCTCTGTGCAGAGAGAAGACAGGCCAAACTCAAACTAATCAATAAAATAATCGTAGGTTGTTCATGAGGGATCCAGAGGGAAAACACCAGGGGCGAGGTATTGAAAATCCTCCCTTATTTATTCTAAAGTAAGTTTGCATAAATACTCACATGGTTCAAAATTCAAAAGGTATAATAAGTGAATAATAAAATAATAAAAGTGAGCTCTCTCTTCCATCCCCCTCTCCAGCCAGTCAATTTCCTTCCCCCAAAGCAAACAATTAATCATAGTTTATGTGAATTCTTCCAGAAATATTTTAGGCTTTTATAAATAAATAAATGCATGAATACACATACCCACCCTCCCTGTCACTCAGTTTAGCATAATCCTAAAGGACTGGACCCTGAGGAGTGAGGAGGAGTCAGCCTTGCAAAGTGTGGTGAGAAGAACATTCCAGAAAGAGGGATGAGCAGGTGAAGCCCCAGAGGACGTTCCGAAGGCTCAGAGGTGCGGGCAGAACAGTGTAGACCGGCTGTAATTAGGACCACTCTGAGGAAGTTCCCAGGGTGAGCCAGTGGATCGCCCCCCTTCCCACCCAAGGCTGCACATCTGGGTGAGCTCACCCCCTCCTCACCCCTACTCGGGAGAACTCCTCATCTGGTGTCAGGCCACCTGCTCGTCAGTGAGGAGGAGGTGGCGTTTATGAGACTATAGCTCACTTATAACTAGGAGCTGTAGGTGACCAGCTTTGTCATCTGGTAGGGCCTGACACCCCAGTCTGAGGTTGGCTCACCCCTAAACAAATAATACTCCCAATGCAACAAGCCACCTTCAGGAAGGGCCCCGAAAGGCTCAGCGACGTTTGTGACGGATCAATAACAATCATACTTATTCTTCACCCCCTAAGCTCAGGGCTGCATCTCAGAAATTGAACAACCTTGAATATCTAGCCCACCGCTAGGGGAGGTGGAGGAAGGAGGGCAGGTAAATGGGATGTATATTTGACCCATGCTTCTACAAATACTGCCTCTGCCCTCACCTGCCTGGTGTCCACTCTGACTACACACCTTAGGTCAATAATGATGATAATTGCTACCATCTCTCAGGTCCTCACTGTTTGCCAGAGCCGGTCCCACAATAAACTGCCTGTATGGGATCCTCTCTCAAAGACGTCTCAGCGGACCCATCTTCCACCAGCCCAGCCTGCACTCAGGACCTCACAGTGTCCACTTTGAACTCAGCTGTCCAAATCTGACCCCTCCGCCCCCTTCGGTTGTCAGAGAACACGTGGTTTACCTGCGTGGTCTGAAAGTTCTTTTACTTCCTTTTCCCTGTGCGTGTTGGTGGCAGGGAAAGGCAAGGAAGAGTCTTCTCCTTCTTATCTCCTCGGTTTTATTACCTTGGCTCTGGCTTACCAACCGGTTGCGTGCCATCCTTTATTGCAACTCTTATATTTCCTGACTATTATCATTTTTCTTCCCTGCTGTCCAGTCCCTGCCCCCTGTTGGTTTTTTTCCTCCAATCTGCTTCCTCCTGGAAATGCTTAGCCATCGGATCTCTGCACCCCCACAGCCCTTCTCCCTCCTCTGGTCTTTCTTTCCATTGCCTGCTTGGAAACACCTGTGTTCTTTCTTTCTCTCCCATCAGACCCCATACTGCACACCACACCTTATAACCTTCCCAGAGCTGCGTGGCATCCAGGACCATGAAATCAGCCAGTATTTTAATTGCCACCCCTGCCCAAGCACAGTGGTCGTGGGCCCGTGGTTAGCTATCATCACACGGTCAGGAGCAAACACACTCCCTGGGGAGCTGCCCACCTCTCCGCCTGGTGTCACTTCCTGTCAGGTTTCTAGGTATCTGGCACATGGCCCTGGCCACCGGTTGGGAGGGAAGCAAGTCCTGAGCCCCAGGAGCTGGTTACACCCAGCATGCTGCCTCAGAAGGACATCTCCAAACTGCATGCAGCTCCTTGCAGGGGAGACCCTGACTGCCTTCTTCCTCCCGGGTGTGTCTTGCAGTATTATTGTAAGACAGTCACTCATTCATTCAACAAACATTTACTGACCCCTCCTATGCGCCAGACAGTGGTTTAGGCCCTGGGGAGACAGCAAAGATGGGTATCTTGCAGACAACACAGACAAAAGTCCCAGACGCACAGCGCTGCAGTCTGGTATGGGAGGGCCAACAATCAGTTGGATAAATACGTAAAATGTCTAGTCTGGTAGCTGGGGATAAGGGCTAAAGAGAAAAATAAAAAATAAAAAGAGAAGGGGGATGGAGATTGTGGGTGAAGGGGGGAGGAGTGGAAAGTGGTGATTTTTATTTCCCCCAATTTAAATTTAAATCAGTGGTTCTCAATCTGTGATGATTTTGTCCCCAGTGGACATTTGGCAATTCCTATTCATGTTTTTTTTTTTTTTTATTGAGGTCACATTGGTTTATATCATTATATAAATTTCAAGTGTACATCATATTACGTCTTCTGTATAGCCTACATCACGTTCAAGACCAATAGTCTAGTTGCCATCTGTCACCGTACACAGGTGCCCCTTTACCCCTTTCACCCTCTCCCACGCCCCTTCCCCTCTGGTAACCACCAGTCTGTTCTCTGTATCTATGTGTTTGTTTGTTGATTGTCACAACTTGCAGGAGGGGATGCTACTGGTATCTAGTGGGCAGACACCAGGGAGGCTGCTAAACATCTACAATGCACAGGACAGCCCCCATGACATAGAATTATGCAGCCCAAAATGTCCACAGCACTGAGGTCGAGAAACTCTGATTTAAATACAGCAATGAGGTGAGGCCTTACTGCGAGGCCGTGTATGTACACATACCCGCCCCTCCCGCACAGGTTCTAGATAGCCAAAGCTGATCTCTTGATGCCCCAAACTTCTTTTGATGGAAATCTTTGTAAACTCACTTACTTCCCTTATGAGAAAGTGGCAGACACTTGAGTACAGCAGCTCAGGGAAGGTTGGGCTAATCAAAAGAAGAGAAACAGGACGAGAAAAAATGAAATGGGGAGATGAGGGCAAAGCACAGAGAACTGGGTTAGGGGACAGCTAGGCAGGTTTCCTCCAATCCAGGATGATCAATCAATGAGTGATTATTTATTCATTCATTCAAGAAACCCTGAGCACTAATCCTGTGCCCCGCTCTGTTCAGCACAGGATATAACAGGATGAAAACGCATCATCCCTGCCTCCCAGGACCTCATGGTCTAAAGGCGAAGAAACTCAAGCTACAATCTCTGGTGGCGGTAAGCTCCTAACCCCCTTGGCTGGGGGGAATCAAGGAAGGCTCCCCGAGGAGGTGATGCCTGGTGGCGCTAAGCGTTAAAAGATGCATAGGTGCTTTCCAGGGCGGTGCTCCGGGTCAGTCTGAAACTGCCAGCACCAGCAGGAGACCCTTGGATGCAGGAATCGCTCAGCCTTGCCTAGGCTAAGCGGTCCCTCTGCTCAGAGATGCTCCAGCAGGACCTGGGAAATCAGGTGGCAGGTATTTCCTGCCCACACATGTGTAATCTACTAGTACACAGAGCCAGGATCAAGTCTATCTCTGGGAAACATTTCTGAGATTTCTTACAATCAGCTATGACAGCATTTTTGGCTTGAAATTAAGATGGTCTCATTCAATTCCATTCTTAGCTGAACTCTTTCTGTCTGTATGGAAATTTGGAAGCGAGTTTTAGGAATTCTGACTTCCAGCCGCTGATGATCCTTTGTGACAGCATGCTGTATTCTTGTACAGAGATGAGCTACTCCAAAGCTGGCAGATGAAGGAAGAGAGAGAAGCAGGTAGGCACATGCTCCACCATCCCCCAGTTCACCAGAGAAGGGCCCCATCCTCATCTGCTGCGGGCCACACCTGCTGAACCTGGCTGTGTGTCCCTGGTCATAGTTAGTAATTCTCCTCAACGCATCAGCTGCATGTGAGATGACACTATGTTAATTGGGTTCTGAAGGGTGAATAGGAGTTCACCAGGTACAGTTGGTGGAGAAGGGAATGTCCAGGGAACAGAATGTGCAAAAAGCATGAGCAGTTTGGTTCTGCAGGAAAAGAGGATGGAGAGAAGGCAAATGCCAGATCTTGAATGGTTTTTCTTGAACTAAGATTTGAACTTCTAGAGAATCAGGGGGAAGGGCCAAATGAGACTTAATTTTTAAGAAAATCACTCTGGCAGCATATGGAGAGGAGACTGGAGTGGGAAACAAGTACAGCCAAGAAGCCAGTTAGGAAGCTGTATTAGTCCAGGCACGTGTGATGGAGGCCTGGACAGGAGCAGGGGCTGGGAGGTGGGGTGGGAGGGGTCAGATCTGAGGGAAGACCCAAAGATGTGTTCAGAGCTGACCATGAGGCAGTGCGGAGTGAGGTGGGCAGGCTTAAACAGGCAGTTGCATCCAGTATGCATGGCATGCATTCCGGCAGGCACTGAAGTGGCCCCTGGGGTCCTTCCCTACGGGTAGAGCAGGCAGGATTCCACAGGGGAAGAACCAAGAGACCTGATTTCCAAGGCATTTCTTGCTTCTGCCCTGGAAGTTTTTACATCCCTCCTGATCAGGGGCAGCTGACCACAGAGAAGCCCAGAACAGGGTCCTGAAGGGGAAAATGGGCAATTTCTAACAACCTCTCTGCTTCCTCTCTGCTGAAAGCCCTCACTTCAGCAGGACTAGCCTGTTCTTTTCTGAGCTGTCAGATGCAGGACCAGCAGAGTGATCACCGATCTGAGCCCACGCCCTTTCTGTACACAAGACACAGAGGACCAGGGGAGGGAGTGACCCACCCAAGATCACAGAGCAGAGCCGCGGCTGGAGCAATTCTTGGGGCTTCAGCTCCAGGGCTGTTTTCTGTTGCATGATGCCACGGCTTTCAGAGTCTGATTTTAAATAGGATAAAAAATTAAACTCTAAACCACCCATCCTTAACTGATGCCTGAAATTATACCCATTAGAATCACTCCTTTAGGTAACTGAATTCTCTCCAGGAAATGAGAGCATGAAATTCAAATGTGTGTGTGAGAGAGAATGAATTTGAGCCCAGGAAGGCAGAGGCCACATCTGCATGCTGGGGCTTCTGCAGAAACAACAGAGCTTCTTTTGTGCTGTTGACAATTGCTTGGTAAACACAGAGTGAACTGGAGAAAATGCCTTCCTCCTCTGGAGACACACATCAGGACCCACAAAGTCCGATAGAGGAAAAGATTAATTATGACTGGAGGATCTGAGAAGGTCTTCTAGAAGAGCGGACATTTGAGCTGGGTATTAAACAGGGTGAGATCCTGGGTGGGTGGGAGGGCGGGTGGAACATCAGGGAGAGTGTACAGGTGCCTGGATTCCTGGAATAAAGGCAGAGAGAATCTCTGGGAGGTGTGGCTAAGGTGCAGGCTCCATGGTGCTGCCACGCCCTCCACCGATGCCCATGGCAGGCATCGCTAATCAACCACAGCACTCTTTCCCATGGATCCCAGACTTGACCTCAACACCCTTCTGCCCGGAGCACTCCAGGCAGCCACTAACAATCGATCCACATGATAAAGTCCACGCGAGATGTCTGAGCTGTGGGAGGAGGAGAGGAGATGAGGCAGGCTTGGGTGCCACATGCCAGGCTGAAAAACTTCTTCCTCTGGCTATTTGATGATACTAAGGAACTACAGTTTAATGTTTTAGGTGTGACCATG